CCAACATATCGAAAGCGATTAAGTTTAATCGCTTTGAATAAAATACGCTTCTGGTCGATAACCAGCATGTTCCCACTAACTGGTCACTTGTAACGCATCTTGTGTATAGTGTTGCATCGCGTTTTAGCGCCATAAAACGCTATAAAACGTTGTTGCAGTTGCGCAATCATGTAATCACTCCCGCTAATCGTATAATTCACCATCACAAAGTTTACGGACATAGGCGAACTGATTATGAGCCGACAAGTGGATACATCGGACAGCGGCTAATCGCACAATTAATCTAACGATCAAGCAAACTCCAAAACAACTTCAATACAAAAACAAGCCAAAAGTTAAACCAGCCAAACTATAAACTACAAACAAAAACTCAAATAGAACACAAACATTTAGATTTTTAATTAAATTTTCCATTAAAACACAAGTTTAAGTGGATACATTATTTATGTAGCTGCTTTAATTACTTCTGCAAGCTATAATTAAATTGTACTTAGTTTTAAGTTGTAATAATTATTGTAATTTATGAAATTTTCGTTTCGTTTGCGTTTTCAACTTGTGAGCTGCACGTCAAGATACACTGTAAAAGGTGGACGACAATGAAACTTGAAACGCGAAACGGATATAGCCGCAAAGGGCATATATACAGACTTATTTGGACATACGTGAGCGACGAGTGGCTGCGAACACTTGCACATTGCGACTTTGATGCGAAAGACGAAACTGAGCAGCAACACAAGAACTTCCTTTCATGGCAGTTCAATGCGAAAATTACGTGGCAAGCACTACCACAACTTTTTTCATTCAAAAACCGAAGAATTTCAAAAATAAAAATAAACTTCAATTTACAATTTGACAAATTTCTGTCAACAACTATAAAGTAGTATATATCTTTGTTTAACGGAAAATAAAATAAAACTAAACATAAACAACAATTTGTCATTTTGGTACACAGTTTATCTTTCACGACATTCTAAAGAACCAAAAGGATTGTAAGTTGAATATACACCTGACTGAATGAATGCATGATAACATGAATATTTAGCTTCCAGCTTCACTTGCGTAGGTACAAAGATCCTTTGCAGAAATCGTGCATCTTGCAAGTCTCTTCAAGAAGCGTGCTCGGCGCTTGCGGCTTTATGTCTTTATAATTGCTCCGTGTCCCTCGAGCTTTCGCACAAAAACACATGAATAAGGATGAAACTTCCTCATACCGATTCATCGCGTTCGCGAGTGATTTCATGCAAAACCGAACAAGTGCACACACAGGACATGTTTTAAAAACGAAATAAAAATAATTAAAATACTGCATGGCTTGATATAGTGCTCACCTGTTATATAATAATTTTCGTTCTTTTGTGTGCATTGAATAAATCTTGCATAACAGGCTAACGAGCTTGGATTGCGAAGAAGTTATAACTTCCTTTTGACGCATGTGTGAAATTTCAAGTCATGCGAATTTACACTCATGTTTAGTACTTGGATGAGTTGTGTGAAAGTTGCATAACTATTTATAAAGCAACTTTGTCGTCGTTGAATTTAATAAAAAGAAGTTTCCGTCAATAAAATTATCAATTTTAATTTAAAGTAATAAAAAATTGCTCATAATTTATGATAGCACCACCTAGATTTAGATTATGTAACTATAACTATGAATGTATCTTTATATCAACTTTCATCCCTTATTTAATGCCCATTCAGTTAAATTTTTGCGATAAAAAGTAGCCAATTTACTATTTTGATGAATAAACTATAAGATTGTAATGTTTAATCAATAATGGCTTAGTAACTTTTGCTTGACAGAGTTACAAACATACACATCTTCACAAAATGAATACCGACATCATATCTAAAGAAATTTAACAACGATTTGATTGACACTCCTTTCTAAAATCACACATAGAAGACATTTAAAAATTAAATACGTATTTATTTATAAAAACATATGGTCATCAATTGAATTCCTCATTTTTTGTCAGTCTGTCTGCTCTTTTGTTAAAAAAAAACCGCTAATCACCTCGCAACATCATTACACGCTGTATTATTGCATCAAAAATAGTTGTTAATCGCCGCGAGTTTCAGTCGAACCGTAAACGCTCGTAAAAATGCGCAATTAACTGTAAATGTACACATCGAATCGATCGATGGCGACGTGCCATTAGATGCACTTCCTCCGGTGGCTGGGAATCGCCACTTCCTCTTCCTGTCTTTCACACGCACGCGCGGGCACGCACCTATTTGCCGCAAGAGGTAAATCAGGGCGCTAACACACGGAATTTATAAATAGTTGTTACAACCAAATAAAACACCGTTTACCGCTGACGCCAGTCGATAAATTTATCATTTTTAATTTGTTGAAATTCCAACTTACCGTTACCGAGAGAAAATGCGACTAAATGCGGAAATGAGATGTAAACTCACCTGCAACGAAAGAAAGAAACAATCAGCATTAAAATTAATTAAAACTTTAATTGCGGAATATCATGCGGTCATGTTCTGGTAAACCGCTGATTGTCATACAGAGTAAACAACAAAATACAAGTAAAAACCACGATAATTCGCAATAAAACGTTGATTACGTTAATTATATCAGCGATTTCTGCTAATGACTACTCTTTATTAACTCTATAGAGAACAAAAAAGATCTTCAATCGAATGTCAACATTGAAACCGTGAAAATTGATTATATCAAGTCCGACCAGACACTTTGTCTGTCACGGCACCCCATCCTATTGCTTGACTATTTGCGATCCGTCTGAGTGGCGTTTTTATCGATAGGGGAGATTCCCAGACCTAGCCGAACAAATAATAAAAGAAAATTCCATCACCATTATCACAAAAACATCTCAGGAGAAAAATGCGCATCACCGAAGCAATAAAAATAAACCAACCGAGCAAATAGAAGATGGAAAAGATGCGCGGAATCCAGGCGGTGTCCTTGAAAAAGCCGCACTATAATATTCCTGCTGCTATCCTTCAAGATTCACCAAGTTTAGACAAGATTTATTGCTCGCTACTACATTTCGCTTGGAGTTACGCTTGGACAAACGTAATAAAAGCAATAAAAGCGAACATAAATGTACGGATGCAAATCCTAATGTGCTACAACAAAGCGTCCTATTAGTAAATGTCAGTTTTATAGGTTAAGTTGGTTTCCGCGCGCAAAAAAAAAACGTCGAAAGTTGGAATGAAAAGGTAAGTCTTCATTGCCACATTGTTATTTGTTAAACGTGGCTATCCGTTAAAAGCACTTCTGGATCAAAAGCGCCTTTGTAGTAAACCATCCGGTGGTTTATTGCCGGCAAGCACACGATTCAGTCATTTACCCACTTCTCCCATTCTTGGAAAACACGAAAATTTTCATTTCATTTATTCAGTTTCTTTGTTAGTTTGGTGTCGGAATATCTGGAGCAATCAATAGTAGTTAACAGTTTAGACACGCTGTTTTCCATTGATCGAAATTTACTAATGACGCATAAACAGTTTTGTAAGTCAGACAACAACAAGAGAAGACCATCAAAGACTACTGTTCTTGTTTGTGTATTATATTATAATGTTATGAATCGAATTGATGAGTTCGCAGGGGCAGTGAACGCCGTGAATGCGAATATAACGAACGGACAAACAAATCGATAAACCAGTGCGATCCTGGAGGAAACAAAATTTCAACTCGAGGCATGAAACTGGGTCATACTATTCATCACCCAGGCGAACGGAACAAACAGCAAAAAGTCGAAAACAACTAGGAACTAGCTAACAACTAGTGGGAGCTCCCATGGAGTAAAAAATGAAATATTTCAGAGCGCAAACACGTCGAAAGAAATTGAAATAAATCATCTCGGTTTAAGTTTGTTAAAGAAGTTAACAAAACGCAAAACAGGAAGAAAAGTTGGTTTTTACGTGATAAAAATGAGTTTTTAAATGATAAACGATAGGAAGCGATAAATTCGTGTAGGCGATGACATGCAGGATCAAAAGAAACCTTGTGATGTCAAGTGCAACTGCGACGAGAGTCCGACGCTATCCAGTTCGGTGATATTCTAGGCGCGGCGCTAAAAATACAGCGTCGAATTCGAATTCACATACAGATTCGGATTGAACTAATCCAACACTCCCAAAATGAGCTCATCCCAAATCCTAACATCGAATAAATTTGTTTGGAACATTGGCGTCAAGTGCAAAGTGAGTCAACACTTGCAACTTGTAGATGTAGGTAATAAGTAATCGCGCGTTGGGTGTTAGGTGTTGGTGAAGTATGTTAGTATGCAGCACCGCCGAATATTCCAAATGTTCCGAGTATTTCGACGCCGATTCTGGCACTCTGAGTATTTGAAGCGCGGAGGCAAGAATCGAAGCAGTCCCCATGTGTCGAAAGTTATTTGGAACGTTTAACCCGCACGAGTTCTCTTTGGGTTTTCAACGGAGAAAGCCCACGAGGAGCGTAATCGGGCCGAAAACAGCCAAAACAAATATGGTGTATGGAAGAGAAGGTGACGACAGCTAAGAAAAATCTAAGGAAAACACATAAATGTCTTTTCCAGTAAAGTTGGTAGAGTATAGTAGTGAGATTGGAGTCAAACACAGTAAATCATAGTTTATTAGTGATTTTTTTAGTAAAAATGTGATTATTTTTTACTTTTATGTCTCGATACCATCGATAAGACACGCAATTTTATTTTAAAGAAATGAGAAATGCTAATAATGTACTTTAGCGCCATCAGGATTGACATGATCTAACTACAAATATGATTGAATCACTATACTAACTTTAATCACTTATTTAACACCCTGTAAGTTATAATTTTCAATATTCTAACAGTTATTATCCTATTTGAAGCTAAAACAAATTCAAAAAATCATAAATCATCAAAATCTGTCCAGCCATTCTTGAGATATAAATGTTCTAACTAACAATTAATAAAATTAACTAAAATTTGCTGTTTTTCAACTAATCGGAAACTTTACACACAAAAAACTGTGAAATCAACAATTATTATCCTTACCTTTTGAGACTTTGATGCTTCCCCCCATTAATCAACACTTTATTAATAGGTTTACCCCCAATACTGGTCGGCGTCGCCGAAGAATAACTCGCAGTAGCAGTTGTAGCATCACTAGCAAAACTGCTAATACTATTCTCCTTACTGATGGACGATGCGGCGTTGTTATTCAAATGCACCGTGTGCGTCGTAGTTGTAATCGCGACATTATGATGACCGCCCCCGTTCGAGGTCACCATCGTCGTGGTCGAGCGACCGTTCGTGAGCGGCGGCGACAGCGACAGCTGCAGGTGCGCCTTTCCGGGTCCCGCCGGCGGTTTCTCGTCCACCGGCAGCATATACGACAACATTTTCGAAATGTCACTTGAGATTCACGCACGAAAGCAACAACCGGGGATACTATCGACGGGGTAACATTTTCGAGTTGTCGAGTTTTCTTGTGGTCTGCCGGAGAAAGTCTGTAACAATAACAAAAGAATAATTGGTTGTTGTAAAGTTCATCAATTATTTTCTATTCTATAATCGAGGTGATGTGGTTTTTAGACTGTTGTGTGTTGGGCGAGTTATTTCATGCTCCGCACGGCGTTTATCTATCTTTTCTCGTTTCTACAAGTCTAGCAAAGATTTGTATTATACGCTTGGCGAATCAAAGTTTCATGAGAAGGCGGTTACATTCGCACAAGCACCGTAACCACAATCATACCGTAGTATTTATGATGCATTGTTCGGAGATTAATAAAAAATGTTCACCTACGCATAAATGTTTAGCTTATAATTTTCGTTGTGCGATATTTTTGCCACTCGAATCATAAGCCACTCTGCGGCTTTCACAATGACAACGTGAAAATTAACAGGGGTAGAGACACTCACATTGATCATACATTGTCTCAGTGAAGTTTACGAGCTTTCGTGAGCTTTACGATCGCAAACGCACCGCGAAACGCAGTCTGGGGAGTGTTTTAAGAGGGAAACACCGCGTCTGATGCGAGTGGAGAAAACTGAAAGGTCGCGTTTCGGAAGTTTTCCGCCGGCAGCACGACGATTGCAGTGTCTGAACAGCTCCCGACACGGGTGTGGAAGTTCATTGCACTTGTCTAGCTGTAGATTTATAAAAGAAAAACAAGAAAAGAAATTTAATTAAATTGAATTTCATTCAATATCAAAAAATTCCCTACTTAAATATTTAGTTTATTTTATAACTTTATAAACTTCCTTATTTCCTATCAGATATTTTGTTTGGTAGTTTAGTATGCATTTAATCGAAAATATTTACGTTAAATTTTATGAGCGGCAAACTTGAATGTTTTTCATGCAAGCGCTTTCCCGTTTTTTGCGCTTAAGTCGAAACCTGCGCGTCGCACAAGCATAAGTATAAATAGATATAAATATACTGACCTAGTTCAAGTTAATTTACAGTACGTGCGAGAGCAACGTGCAACGATATGCGAACGACAAGCGCTTTAAGAATTTATTGCAGATTTACTTAATTAAGTGATATTCAGCAGTCCGCAATAAGTCAATATGAATTATAACTTATCATATTAAATCAACCATCAACTAACTACTGTTAGTTTTGTGGAATTATAGCTTTGCATGAACCTAATACAAAAGCGCATCGTAGTACTATTAAAACTCAGTATTTTATTAGTTAATTATGTATATGTAATTTGTACTTAAATTATAGCCAAACACCAACACGATATGCATATGCATATATATTGCATACTCATTATTTTAAATTACGAGTGACACTAAATATTCAATGCTTTTATGCATTGTGAATCTTTCTTTTGCCCGTTTGTGCCTGATTACGGTGTGCTACTAATAAATATAAATATCAGCACGGAGTGAATTCGTGAAGCGAAACAAATTCGCTACGTGCACGAAATGCGTAGATTAAATCCGAAATATGCGCCCGGCTTCCCATCGCGTTTCGGTTTCGTTTAAATTGCGTTGAATAACACACATAATCATATTAATCCAGACACACCAGCGGACAAAACGTAATCGCATCCAATTAAGTAAAAGCGCGCTCCGTAAATAAATAAATAATATAATAAAATGTAACACATTTCATGTTATGACACACTTTTCATACAGTTATTAAATAAATTGATCAATTTTTCATTCTCAGGCTAACTTCCGATTTGCATCGAATTGGATTTTGTACGGAATTAAAACGGCAGGTGGCGTCAATAATAACAATAGTAATGCTTAATTTGAATTTGAAGCTTTCATGCGAAAAATATTTGAAAGTTGAAATATAATGTATAATACAATGGGATATGGTCGATGTGAATAAAGATGAGCTTATGTAAACAAAAGAGAACAAAAAATATCACGTTGCTCATTAATTACGTAATTTCATTTAATTTTGTGCGAAGAGAATGCATGGAATTCACATTGTTCAACGCGTCAAGTTGAAAAGTTCAAATAAAACTTCCTTGAGAATGAACTGCACCGAGATATTTAAAAGTGCAATGACTTAAACCTAAACATCTTATAGATTAATGAAATCATAATGATATTATAAATTCAAATGTTTGTAACTGTTTCACGCAAAAATTACTGAACGAATTTTTATGAAATTTTGCTGTGGTGAAGCTTATTCTTAAAAAAAAGAGATAAATTGCATTTTTTTTTTCACAAAAATAAAACATGAAGGGTGTAAAATAAAGGATGAATGTAAGTATAGAGATTTAATCACAATTACCACTTATCAACTGATGAAATTTAAATAAACTTTGAACTAGATATAGAATATTAATTAAATAAATTATTCTGATACCTACTCCAATAAAACTACAACACACAAAAACGAAATAAATATAAGAAGATATGTGATGCGTGAAATATGTGTCATTAGGTACGGAATTGGAGCGTTGCAGCCAGTCAGTCAACGCCAAAACACGCTGTGATATTCCAGCGCCAGGCTGGAAATAAAACAAGAAGACGCTTCCAACGTACAACCTGCAACTGCGCACAAGCATATCAGATGAAACAGATGAAGCCAAGAAAAGACTGACGCATGAAACTAGACCTACTTCAGAAATAATTTTAATTTATTTATAATATATAATTATATTTGTGTATATTTTACATTTTACGTCGAAAGTAACGAGTATGAACTAGAGTATGAGTACAAGTAGTGCGAATGAAAATTAATACTCTAGATGTCGAGATATTGCAGCATCAGATTTTGTTTTACGTACGCTCGACATATGGACGACGAGTGCAGGATTTGTTACCAGTGCTAGAAGCTCGTTTGCCATACGACATGCAGGAACTTTAATCTGCGCAATTAAATTATTAAAACGAAGGGGACCCACACGAATATTCGAAACTGAACTAAACCATCTGCACACGCTGGTCGTTTCATTCAAATGCTTAAAACATGCATGCACTTCGATACTATTTATAAATTAAATACTCTGTGAAGCATTTCCGTATATTCATGATTTTTAGTGGTAATAAACATAAATCACATCAAACAATTATGAAATTACTAAATGGCAAACACGTAAACAAGGAATTTACCGCCCAAAAGTTTGAAAAACAGGCCTTCTCCCGATCAAACAAAAACAAAAAAGCGTTTGGCAATATTTGGGCGAATCGACATTTTCATCAGCAGAATCCTTCTTTCTGTGTTTGTTTCTACATTTTGAATTGTTATTAGTTTTTTTTTTAAATTAGAAATTAGCAGAATAATCGATTTTCATTTGCCGATTAGTCGGCGACTACATACCGACGACAAAACTAGCAAAATATTTCACTTTTTCGATGAATTGACAGACTATTTCATTTCTAATCTAAAGATTTTCAAAGGATCATTAAAATTATAATCAATTAGAAATTAATATTCAATTTCACGATGTCCATTTAGGATAAATCAATGCTCAATAATTAAAATTAATTTCCAACGCCTTTTAAAGAAATGCCTTTTAAAGCGATGTATCCATAAATTAATGAATTCATCTACTAACTTCGACTTTGAATAATTATTCCTAGCGATGACATTCGAAGCTGTCCATTGAACGATTAATTTTATTATGAATGTTTATTAATGATAAACATCTTAAATATCATCGAGGTTTAGAGTCACAAATCATTCGAAAACTAATCGAGCGTATAAATACACATTAAGTTCGTGATATTCTTTAATAATAATAATAACAGTAATAATATAGCATTACTTCTTTCATTTATAGTAAAGTTAAATAAAGTTCATTTTTAAGTTTCAACGTGTTGTTTGGCATTGAAAATAATTTATGATTCATCAGTGAAACCTTCTACTTCCAAACTTAATCGACATTTACATTAAATGTTCAACAATTTGGAATTTAGGAATTGGAATGCTTATTACTTGCAATAAATATTTAAAAAAAATTGTAATCGAATATGATTTATGATTAGGATGATAAATTAATGACACGAGACCAAAAATTTTACTGCCTCGCCTGTAAAATGCCATTTTATCACGGATACCTATCTTTAGTATTATTATTAACGTTTCAAAATTTCACCCTTTTTTATAATTTTTAAAGTTAAAATAGAAAAAATAACCAAACTTTGAGATTTCACGACGATTTCGCGACGTAAATCTTATAAATTTTGTGGGATTTTTGTAAACTTGTTATAAACTCAATTTCTCTACTAAATACGTCTAAAAATATTCTCCAAAGTCTAAATATTAATAAAAGTCTTATGTTGCATTCACTTCTGATATGTTACAACAGATTTTCATTGTATCGCAGACGCTAATAGTAATTTACATCATATTATTTATTCTGTGATAAATTTATTAAATACTATTGCAAATTATAAATAAATATATGTACTATCAATATCAATAATGTTATTTATTACTTGCAAACATAAACATAGACACACTCAATTGAATAAATAATTAATTAGTTCAAATATCAACCGCACGAGCACGAGTTCGAATACCAGGAATTAATAGTGGTCGAGACACGTGATGTAACAGTAGTAGGTACTTATCCTCAGGTAAAACTTATAATTTATGCAAACATATGGTGATGACTAATAACGCTCCAACTAACATCGACCGCGTGCCACGAGGAGGAGACATTGAAATCGACACACACTGCCGATTGAAACGACTGAAAACACTGCGCAGACAATAAGAACGAGGCAGATTCTCATATGGGGTAGTTTTCCTTGGATGGCTTATTCAAAGCGACCCCTCGTTCGCACAACTATTACAGCACGTTTGTACTTAGTATACAAACGCTGACGTCCTGAGGTTGAATTTAAATTTTAAATGAATTTCAAAGTGAATAGGCACCCTTTTCCTTATTCAAACCGGAGTGATATAACAGAGTTAAAAGTGAACCAAATTGGAATATATAATTCTATGCCACGTGCAAAACATCAAAGGAATATGTATAATTAAATAAATCATTAAGTTCATAATAAATTTTAAACACAAATAATTTATTTAATTTAATTTCCGCTTTTATTGCCTCGCATTTTATGGTTACATGGTGTGTTACCTAATCATTTATTTTATTTCGTCTGTAATGTTGTGTTTGGTGTTTTTGTGGTCAGTAACCGAACCGGACGCGTCAAAACTTCACTTTTTATGTAACAATCACGCAGCCGACATCAATTTTTTCTCACCTGAGCAAAAATATATATATAAGAGAATTAGAAACAAACGAAGTGAGGAACAAGTTTTTTGCCACTTTTACGGCCGCTTTGCTGTCTGTCTGATATAAAATTGTTACGTGATTCAAACGCATTTCACATTCCGGCAACGAAATCGAAATTAATAGTGTTTAATAAGCGGGTATTAAACGTGTGGATTAAACGAATTTAACGATTGCGAGTAAATGAGTGTGGATTGTGCGTGTGACAGGTATTTATCTAAGGAACTATTCAATCGCTTCACACCTTGGATTTTCATTTAAGGAGTTTTAATTGGATATGTTTAAAGTATTAAAAATATTAATTAAAGTTTGAAATAACAATTCGATTAAATAAAAAATTGATTGCAGGGAGCCAGAGAGGAAGTATTTACGATGTTAACAATTTTTTAGTGTAAAAATTGCTTCAGAAGTATATAGTAATAAATAATATAAATGTAGATGTAATTTTGTTTGTTTGTGACGCTTTCACGCGTCAACTACTGACGCAATTTTGATAAATTTTAGTGTACAGATATTTCTGATCGAAGCAAAGCTTATAGGCTACTTTTTATCTCAAAACTATAACTTTTATGGTATAAAATAAGAGATAAAAGTTGATATGGAAATTCAATCATAGATATAGGTAGTTATATAACTGGCGCAAAAGTCCATTATTAGCATTTTTCTTTTCTTTCAAAAAAATACTTAGTTATGTTTCTTTTTATTAAAATCTATAATTTTTACTCAATTACTACTCAAATAATTAATGAAAAACAATAAAAATTACAACTCTAATGAACATAATTTAAAATTTCAGTTTTACTAACCAAAAACACTTATAAAGAAGAAATAAATCAATATTTACCCATAAGCAACATGAGTAGCTGTCAAAAACATCATCTTGCAGACGAAATCAATATTTAATCAGCAAATTGAAATGCCCGTTGCATACTGAGCATAAAATAACATCACACATTTTAATGATGTGCAAACAAACAAACACTTCATCCTAGACTAATATTATCTCTCTAAAAAACGCGCAACTATAAACTTTTCAGACAAACACCTCAAAAACTACAATAAATAAAATTATTGCCGCAAAAAATACGTCCAGACATCCGATAAACATCCCTTAAATGCTATCAGACAGACAGACATCCAATACAGACTTTTTCATTCAATACATTTAGTTTTTCTAGACTTCTATGTGTACGACAACCCTAACTCAATGTATTGCCCACACTTATGAAGCCATTTACGCTAACACGCCGCACAGGTTCGTTTTTCACCACCAGCCCTCAGCAGGTGTCGTAGGTATGTGAAAATGTGGCAAACGTGAGGAAATGCAGCGCTGGGAAGTGTACGCAATGTAGAAAATGTACGAAAAGCAATTTCCTCGGTTTAACGGTGTTTTCCCCTCGTTTTTTTTTTGCAATTTCATGTCTATGTTGTCATTTTGCGTCATTGCACACCAAAGCATAACTTTCTATCAAAATATCTGACACGGATAACAAAAATAAAACAAAATTGTTAATCAAAACACGAAATAAGCATGAAACCCGTCCAGACACTTTATTTCCTAGCAATTTCCTGCCACATTTACGGAAATTTAGCGTTTCCTAATTAATTTCCACTTTATGATTCAATTTTCCTCATTATTTCAAAGATAATCAACCTTGAAATTATATTTGCGAAATACGTGGGCGTTTAAATAAACAAATAATCACCTCGTAATAAATTTTACAATAGTTCAAGTGAAAATAACGCAGTTTTTCGCCTTGAAATTAACTATTCAAGATTATTTATTGTTACAACAAGCAACTTACTTTAATTACAAGTCACACCTGTCTGTTATTATTATTTTACTACAATAACCTTCCAGGTGAATAATTATGACATATAAATGTCAACTTAATATATCATTTTCGAATATGATATGATAATACTTACGTATGTTTTAATTATGTGGACTATCATGAGCAATACAAGCTGAATAAATAAACACATTGATAATTATCCAAACAAATGGTTCCGTATGTATCCACTGTATTTGTTGGAATAAAATTCTGCGTCAATATGTTATGGAGCCAAACGCGTCACAATGAAAAGTCAACATTTTTCAAACAAATATTTAAACACCTGCTTTTAATGAAATATTGTTTATTGTTTATAAAGAAGAAATATAAGCATTTTGCGCATACGCAATGCAATTTATCACTGAACAAAGGCTTGTAATTTAATTTTTCATTATAATTTATTGTAAATGAAAAGTTGAACTGTATTGTTTTCATTTTGGGATTTTGTCAATAACTTAACCTCAATTATAATCTATTTAAACTCAAAATTATTACATTTCATCAATATTTAACGTTAAAATTAAATAATCCACATATTAGCATGAGTTTATATTCATTTTGCTAAAAAAAAAGGAAAAATTTGTTATTTAATGGTTGCTAATAGCAACAAGTGCGTAAAATTTAACATACTCACCAGCGGTGATTTATGCATGACACCAAACGACCAAACAAAACCTTTCTTCTAAATCCGTTGATGGCATAATCGAGTTGGAAAGCTTTCAGGCGCGTTTTCGCCGCGCGATTGATATGTAATTGCTCGAAATAGCGAAAAACTAAGGCGCATATTGCACGCGCACGTGTACCGTACGTGTGCACGATGCAAGCACACATCCTGCGCGCGCGAAGCAAAATAAAACGCATTAATGTATTGAAACATGCCCTTGACATTGCCCGTATGCGCCCGGACGGGTCGTTATTATTTATTGTTTATTGCGAGCCAGTCGAGCAGTTGAGTTAGAAGTCGGACTAATCGATTAAAGCATCGTGAAATGAGGAACTCAATAATGGAGTGCAATTGGCGTCGATTATGCGTGCGAATTACGCGCTACTTTAGCGATACGTACTTACATAATTGTGCGCAATGTGCAATTGAACATTGTTTGCGTTTTTGAAGGTGAATTAATGCGAAGACGGACGTGTTTTAGGCGCGAGTCAGCGGCGAAATCGTCCGAGCGCGTTTACATGCCGAGATCGATCGATAAAAATGTTCTATTTATAAAGTGTGTTCAGTGTTTGGTGGAGCCGGTAATGATGGGCAACAAACAACATCATGTCGGATGCACATCGCACATGTACTCACAAAGTTACATTAAATTATGAACATTGTAAAGACCTGAAATATTTAAATTTAGATTTTTATTAAAGAAATTAAAATTAATTATTATTTATTAATGCTTTTAATAAGTTATAAGATAATAAAAAAGCAAAAAATATTATCAGATTTAATGCTTTGAAAATAGAATTTTGTAGGGTGGTGTGGCGCGTCTGGCGCTTCGTTTACACGCTGCCCATCCTGCGAGAGGGGATGGCAAGCGTCGCGACGCGCGCGCGATGCCACCAACGCGCCCCCGCGCGTGTCGTATGGATTGCGCCATCATCCAACCAACATCCGAAACGTTACCAACGCTACGACGTCATAACGCCGGTCTTTGGCAAAAAAATCTCATGCAAAATGCATTCGCGTCAAAATATCACAAATAAAATGCAATTTTTATTTTTGTTTATTTAATATTTCATCAAATATATTTCCTAATATTTTCTTATTTCATGAATGTTAAATGTTTAGCCAAGGTGTTGTGATGATTTACCTTAATTTAATTATCGCCCAATTATCGCCGGTTTGATGTGTAGCAGTTTTGTATATCCTCGAGGTTGTTCTCATGCGAACAATAAACAAACAAAAGCTTCGAGCGCTTTCAATGCCTTCAAAAAACACTCGCAGTCTAGCCGCGCCGCCGAAAAACACTTCAGTTAACAAATTCTTATTAATCTTGGCGTTATCAAAAGTAAAAAGCACCGCAACGAATTGTAAGTGTGATAAAATTCGCACAAATTTATAATCCTATCACTTCAACACGCTTGAGTTATAGTGATTTTCGCACACAATGCGCAAAAACAAATTTAGGTGCGGATTATGTATGGAAATCCGCGAACCCTTTTACAACCCGCTGCCCACACGAATTTTGCACTGACTGCACAGCTGAGTGTGCAGTAGGAAGCGCGGAAGCGCGCACGTATTTACCACGCGAACACGCCGCAGTCTGCCGGTCGACTGTCGGCGCCGCTGCTCGCGCTGCTCGGTCGGTGTCGCAGACTTGCAGGAGAACGCGTGAATGTCGGCCTCACTGCGCAAGCGATACCGGGCATGCCGGCTGCCGGCAAACACACGCCTGTTCAATAACAAACGTGCCACGGATCCCAAAGAGGATGAATGCGGATTAAAGCAGTGCGATAAACATTCGCAGCGCGCAATTTGGAAAAACGCTGTGTACATATCCACATATTTGTACTGGTTGTTTGAGGATGTTAAGCTCAGGGCGTATAGTAAATATTCAGACAATTACAATTGGATAAGTTGGTGACATACCCTTCGAAATCCACACCCTTGTTTTAAACCCTCGTCAGTTTTCTAGTAATTTATTTAGTCCTTGTAAAGTGCTAGTCGGATACTTCAATTTCGGCCACATTAAAAGTTTATAGCAATACGCATTATGTATTGTTACTGGCAGGCAGTAAGTTTTAGGAGACGCCATTAATTTAATTAATATTTATGCGCGCACACAATTAAACATCATAAATATGCGGAATAAAATTCTGGACAGGCGCCATGTTTGTTTTCATCTACCGAAAGCCCAGAAAAATAAATTTTTCATTGTTATTTCCCACATTTTTAATATTCACGTTATACAATGTAATAAAACTTACAGAAAAACGTACCTCCTTAGTTATAATGATTATTTTCATCTTCAAATTCATTTTTATTTTTGATATTCCACAAAATTCACGCGACGTCTACTTTGTTTTACACAAACATCAGTGAGACCAGTAACTGGTCGTTTGAAATCTTACAAAATTTCATACAAAAACATCCCAATCCTCGTATAACCAATAAAATAAAATCACTACTAACAAAAAAACTGAAATATAATCAACAAAATAATTATAATAAAGAATAGCATTGCATAAAAGTTTCACTAAAGTGATAACTACGACTTCGACGGCTTCTTCTGGTCGAGCCAGGCATGGATTTCACTGTGAAGCTCATGATTAGGTATTACTTGATCCATCGTCAATGGAGATCGATTAAATGGATCCGTTTGGTCACTCAACAAATGCCTGAAAACAGAAATTGTCAAATGAATAAATAGTTTATTATAATTTAAGGTTAAGTATTACCTGGCAATAGTCGATCGATCAACAGTTTGCTTGGAACTCGGCAAAACCACCGGATCCCTCATGAGCGTCGACATAATCGGATCTAAAAAGTGATCCGGCGCGTCAGCGATCGCATCCTCAGTCACCTGATGTTCCTCAGCAAGTCGGGAAACCTTCGATGCCAATTCCTGCAGTTCACCAATAAGTGATCCGCCACCGATGCGAATTAAAACATCTTGAGCCAGCCCAAACAATGACGGTTTATATGAGCGGCCATCTTGTGACACAGCCAGACAGAAATCGTTGTTCTCTTTAAGATTTACATAAATCTTACAGATGTCCAGAACTGTTCCGGCTGGATCAAAACTGTACTCTTTCGAATCTTTCACCTAAATTAAAATATTCATAAATTCATTTAAAACTTAAAATTATAATTATTTATACCTTGAATTTCCTTTGATTAGGTCCCACCAAATTCAACAGGAAATAATTTAACATGGCCGCCACACGATCCACCATCGTATAGTGAGTGAAAACGATTTTTATACGAGACGTCAACCGTTCGATCGTCTTAATCGTTTCTTTACCCAAAATGTTATCAAAACGTGCAATCATACCAATGTGAGCAATGTAGTTGATATTCTGCGAGCGTTCCGCAATTGGAAGTCGATCCCATGCGCCACTCTCACGCACTTGTTCCATTTCTTTAAGTTTCGACATGTTCGCCAAACTTTCATCAAGCAAGAAAACAGCGTCGTTCATTAGTAAATTGATAAAACGTAAAAATAACGGTGGTGTTACTGCTTCGATATTAGCTTCTGCTTCTTCCGCCAACGTCCTAAACATAAATAATTCAATTTGTAATAAATTTTAGCAGAAAATTAATTTTTCTTACGTAAAAATCTCTCGGTGTTCTTGTAACTCCCATAAATAATCCATAACGATGTACATCGGTCTCCTGTAGTTAAATTTCTGTTCGAATTCAACACTTTGCCCTGTCATCTCGATACCAACGAAAACTTCAAGTAAATTCCGAACTATTTCCATTCTATGTTCGTGTTGATTAAAGAGCATTTCGCGTTGGTACCCACCAAGAGTGTTTAACGCTTCTGGTTCGTCTTTATGATGTGGTAAAAGAGCTTCGAGACCTTCTGCAAGTCGTGCACGCAAATGTGGATTCTTCATGCGTTGTGGAGAGCCCATATAAATCAGGATAGACGTGAGCAGTGGCTGCATTTCGGTGTAGCCCTGCATCTCAAACAACTTCGGATTAAAACGGCGTAAAAATACCAAATATGTGACAATGTTTTCGACTAGGAATTCTGGAATGCATCTATAATCATAATGGAAATATTAATAACGTGATTGGTTTTAATATAATGTTAAATATCTTACTTTAATGTGTTAGGAACGGATTCATTTAGTGGAAATTCTAGGGTTTTTTGTACTAAAGGTATGTAGTCCTTGGTGTCCGCTGGGAAATCATTGACGATCACTTGCGTAAACCAATAGGCAGTACCCGATATCAAGTGGAACATCATTTCGATCATCACTGGTTCGGATAACGCTGCTTTCATTGACAGGTAGCGGCCCATTTCGCTTGCCATGCGGTTTTTTATTTGCTCGACGAGTGGACTGTTTGGGTTTTGGGCCATTGTTTCGTTGTAGGTTCGTTCAATTCTTCCCATTTCCTTTTAAAATCAAAAGTTTAATTAAAAAAGTATTGAATTAACTAAAAACAGAATATTTACCTGATTTAGACGTACTAATTTGTCTCCAATTACTTTAAATCCCAAATCAATTGCTTTATGGGCCATGAAAAAACACTCCGTGATAAAATTATAAGTGGACGATGTTACCCTTACTTCCGATGTATCTTCACATGGAACTAAACAAGTCTCCTGTTGTAAATTCGTCAAATGCACACCTTTAGCTTCACACTCTGCCTCTGTAACTGCACAATAAGTCGGATCTACTTTCAGCAGTTTCGCCTGATGCGCTGGTTCGCAGAACGGCATGCAAAACTTCATCAACACCGCGCCCATGTTGAGCATAAAGCCATCACTCACATAATCAGCATTTGATATTCCATCGGTATTGTGCATACTCCATAACTTGCCTCTATTAACATTTGCTTTCAAGCATTTGCCAATCCATGCTAAAACTAGTGATCGCACTTTTGTTCCGGATTTTAGCAGCGTTAAAAACACGCTATGGATGTGATTTGTCACCGATTCCGAATTGCTGAAGAGTGTGTTTTCGGTGGCAATGTTCGACGCTGGGTCCAATGGGTTCTGAAAGAATTCGTACGCGCCCAGGTTGGTTTTCGGCAGTATTGAGATGGTGAATAACGCTCCGAGGAGTGTATTGGAGTATTCGAAACCTATGGTGTTGCGTGCCGTTGAATATTCCATTAATAACAACGATAAATCTTCGTAGGAAATGATGAGTTTCAGAATGTCAAAGATTTTGATGTTGAGAGTCATTATTGTCATCTTGGCTATGTTCAGATGCAGTGCTTTGAGGAGATTTAAGTATGGAAGCCTAATTGCATCAGATCCTCCTTCAAAAATAAGAAAATTTTAACAATTGAATTATATGAATAGGTTTTTTAGTGATTTACCTTCTTCCTCTTTGAAAGCCTTGTAAATTTCCTTGAAAAACACTTCTCCATTGTGTTCCTGCATGAGAATATCTATAAACTGCACAAATACATTCTGTCCATCATATAAATCAGGTGCTTTGAGTGCTGTACACATGTTCCTGAGTATAATTGCTTGAACATCTTGTTTAATTTCTTCATAGTTTGACTCCCAGTTGGTTTGAAAGCATTTAAACAAGTACCACACCACTCTACACTCTCCAGCAGTATCATTAACAGCACTGTCTTTGCCATTACTGCTAATTGTGCTCATACAAGCAACAGTTTCCATTGTGACTAGATACAATCTATCACCAATTGCATGTTCCAGAATAGCGACCGTTAAATCGTCGGTGTTGTAGGCAACAGCTTGGTCCTCTAGATATACAAGGCCCTGCTCACCTGCACGCATTTCGTTCAGCGTAAAGCCGAAAGTCTGCTCCAAATGCTTGGTCTCACGCGACATTGTTTGTGGCAATTGTTTCGACGACTGTTCTGGTGAGGCAATTGGCTCGTCGACGAGCGCTGAAAACGGATTGCTCATGTTTTGCGTATTGGCGGCGCGCTGGGTTCACTAGCCGGACGGGCGCAGCTAGACAAACAAGCGCGCATTGATAATGATTAGGCGAAATTTATTTCTGTGGCACTATCGGGATGTAGTCGCATCACAGCAAATTGAAAACATTTTGCAATGAGAGGATGACGGTGACGGATAACATTTGGTAAAATGTTTGTCATTGGGAGCGCCACCTGTACTTATATCATGTTTTTAATTCAAAAATATAATTATTAGAATGCAAAATTAAACTAAACAACAAGTATAAAAATTTAATACTTATTATAAAACATACAATTTTTGTAATACTTTGTGTTAAAATAATGTAAATATAAATTAAAAGCATCGGTTAGTTATCTGAAAACATGTTTTGCCATAGGCAACCATATTTACCCACCAACTGTTAGGAAGAGGTTATATTTAAAAGAAACCGTGTAAATCGTGCTTTTGAAAGTTTTGAGAGATTTTCGATTTTCATATATTTGAATATAATTTTAAATGTCGCAAACAGGCACCGACGAAAGCGGTACACCACCAAAGCTTAAGAACAATCTGGAAAATGTGAGTATTAAGAATCAATTTTACATTATTTCTATGTGCTGAAACAAAATTGCATTATCAGCAAACTCTGCGCGAATCAAGCGTAAGACGTATTGAAAAGGTGAATAAAAACTATTACATCAACAACTGGTTGCACAAAAATTCATCAAGTAGTAGTAGCAATGATATCCCTACAAATAATACAAAGAAATCAGTTTCTACAAAAGAAACATCTTGCAGTTCCTCATCAGCATGTGTGAGCAAACCTGTGCAAGTTGATAAATCTCCTGCTAAACCCCAATTATTTCCTGCTGGATATAATTTGGGTTCTGTTTATTCAAAAAGTAAAGGCAGTGGTAGTACAAACTCCCGAAAATTGCATGCTTCAACTAAGAATTCACCACCAATTAAAAAGAATATTGAAAAAATTGATCAAGAACAAACAAAAACTGATACAAACAATACACAAGTGAATTCTGAGCAATCCCCACAAGTAGATTCTGAATGGAAAGACTTATTTGACAAACAGGATGAATTTCAACATAAATTTGCAAGTGGCAATCATTCCAATAACCATTCAAAAATTAAAAAACACATTAAACACGCGCTTGGTCTATGCATGTGCGCTGAATGTGAGCAAGACATTCCTGCAGACTTAGTCTATCCTGAAGTAGAAAAATTCTCAACACGCGAACCACCAGAACGTAAACGGCCACCACCCTTAATGAAAGCCAATGATTCTCAAATCACATCTGTGATGACTGCTCCAGTAAAACGGTCTCAAGCATTAGAAGGTAACAAAACAGCAGTATTAACACATGGTCATACAGTACCACAACCACAGGATGAAATCAACAAAACTAATTTACTGCCAGCCGTACAGGAGAAGTTAAAACGCGCTGGATACGAACGCAGTAAACCTGTGCAATCCTTTGGATGGCCTGCAATTATGCGAGGAAATAATGTTGTGCTGATTCATAAGAAAGAAACTGGTAAAACTCTTACCTATATCACAGCATTATGTTCCTTCTTAATGGATCAGGAAGGTTTGTACGATAACATTCCGGATAGCAAACGTTCTCCGCTAATGATTGTCCTGTGTAATAACGCAACAATTGCTGAAGATGTTCACATGAAGTTCGCTGATATATTGAAAGGTAATAAACTGCTGGATAATATTTGGTTACCATTGTTGCCGTTATCAAAGAAAGACATCTCGCAATTTTTCGGTAGGAAACCACCGAAGACTTTTAATAAATCTAAAAGTTACAAACACAACAAAGCCGCCATGATTGAGTATAAGTTGGATGTTGTGATTACAACCGTTGATACATTAATTGTACTCTTAAATGATAATATCATCGATTTAAAGAGGTTGCGACATTTTGTCGTGGAGAATTTGAATATTATTCTGGACAAACTGAAGAAGGGGTTTGAATTGTTGTTGGGTGCAGTGGATAGTATGCTTTCACATAGGAATTGTTACGATGGTGTGCAATTTGTTTCCACTGGTGAGAAGTGGACGACAAAAGTGGAGGAGTTTGTCTGTCGTTTAGATAACTTTCCTTTGATTATTATTGGGAATCCTATGCAAGCGGCGCTTTATGGCAGAGCACAGTTTCATTTGCAGTATGTGCAGAATAAGCTGAAACCAGAGACATTGATAGGTAATAAATAAAGGTAAATATTTTTTGTAATTTTTTTATTTATCATTGAACGATTTGTAGAATTATTAAAGTCTACACATTATCACGTCCATAAATGTATCGTTGTTTGTAAGCTCGAAGAAGTTAAAATTCTCGAGGATCGTTTTGCTACCAAAGGTATTAGTTTTGTTTCAACCACTGATGAGATGACGGGTGGACAAGCGATGGAGTTATTGATGTCTTGGAAATCGACATCGAGCGGCAAACATATTGGTAATATTTATGTTATGTAATTGGAAAATTTTTAAAACTTCAATTTTTATTTTATAGTTTTAATATGCACCGATAAATCTCTCCGCCAATATGTAAAGATATCAAACGCAACGTTTCTGATTAATTATTCGTTGCCACCTACATGGAGTTTGTTTTCTCAGCGTTTTTCGATTTTGATTGATAGCTACCAATGTCCATTGACATCATCATACAGTCAGGTGTGTAATGCTTTAATTACTTTTATTAACAACTAATGAAGCTCTTTCATGGATTTAATACAAATACGTCTCGGTCCACATTATATAACTATCCATGGCTAATTCTTTTTTGAAACTTTTGTTCCATACTTTACTTCTTTAATGATTTTTTTGTTTTATTTGATTATTTGATTTTTATACCAGATATCATTAAAATTGATTTTGTAATCTGGGTTTGAAAAGAAAATACAGTTTCGTTTGAATTTATAATAATTTTATTCCTTTCTAGAATAAATTTAATTGCCATGTTGTTACTTATGTTGATGAAAACTGCCAAGATCGCTTTCCACGCTTGTCGAACTTTTTTAAGGTGAACAACATAAAAGTTCCCGATGTTTTACTCCGGTTTTGTGAAGTAAGTAAAACAATTTCATAATCCTTCGAAAATACCACGTGTATAATTTATATTTATCTTAATTTAGCAAGAAAAACAAAAAGAAGAACAAGAAAATGTCGCCAACAACGCAAAAATATGCAAATCAATATTTACTTACGGTGTTTGCGGTTCTCCCGAGTGCAAAGAACGTCACATCTTCACACCGAAGCTCGAAACACCCTCAAATACTCCATCAAACGGCAAAATAACTTGCAGGTTTATTAATATGAAAGCCGTCAACCAGTATTATCTACAAATTCTTGAATATATGGATCTCCAAGGCGAAACTCATCATATTGAAGATTATTCCACCAAAGTATCTGAATTACTTAAAGAAAAATCGGCGTTTGAACCGTCTGTGGACGCAATTAAAGGTAAAATGTATTTGTACGCTGACGACAACCAATTCAATCGGTGTGTAATTAATCGTGTCGTTAAATATGTTTCAATTGGTGATACAATGACTCCTGATCCTCTTGAGGTGGAGGTTTTTGGCTTGGAAAATGGAATTAAATTGACGATTAATTTTAACCAACTCTACAAGATTCCTAAATCTTTAGAGGATATTCCACCTAGCGTTGTTGAAGTTTACATCTCACGATTGATTCCGCCCTTTAAAGAATCTCTCTGGACACGCAACGCGAGCAAGACTGTCTATACCAAGATAAAATCATTTAATAAGAGCACAATTTGTGTGGGGAATATTTTACTGAGGCTTAACGATACGATTTGGGTGGATGATTTGCAACTGCGTGAAACAAACACTCCGTTTCCAAATCGATTGTCTATAACACAGTTTTTAAAAGATAGAAATATCTATGACAAGTACGAAGATTCTCTTGCAAATCTATATAAGTTATGTCTGGATGGTGGTATTTCTCTACCGGAATATAAAGTTTTCCTTGAGGAAAAACCGCTGCCGAAGTTAACACAAGCTGAAGCAAACTGGGCGTTTTTAAATCCAGATGAACTAAACGCTGTGTACTTTGTTGCTGCCACCTCTTCGGATTGTCTTTATGTGAGGCAAACCAAATTTTATTCTTTACTGAAAAAACTAGAGGATAATATTACTTCATCTCTGCATTTATTGAGAAGAAAACTGGATAAAGACGAAATTGTTATTGGCTGTTATTATTGTCTTCCTGATGAAGTCAGTGGGAATTGGTGCAGAGTTAAGTTGATTGATGTGCAAGATAATATAGCTAAATGCTTTTATGTTGATTATGGAGATTTTGTGTCAGCACCAGTTGAAAATTTGAAACTTTTAAGTGACGAATTTATAACCAAACTGCCATTTCAAGCAATTGAATGTTCGCTATATGGTGTTCAGCCGACAGCATCTTCGGAACTGATTGATGCGTTGCATGAACAAAGTTACGAGGAGAATACGGATTATTTTAAAACATTGTATGCGATGATTTTGTCTACTGAAAAATCAGTTTATGGTGATATGAAATACAAGATTATGTTGCTTGATTATTACTCTGGCGAAGTTAGTTCAATCAACAGCGTTCTGTTGAGGTTAAATCTGGCTGCAGAAATACCAGGAGAACGGCTTGATGAAATTGAATTGTTGCCAAGTAGCGAGATTCCTGATGTTAGTCATGAAGAGGAGTATATTACCAATGATGCTGAAAACTTTGTAGAGTTGAAAGATGATGACTTCGATTTTATATCGTATGATTATAATCCGTATGCAGAGGCTGATAAAATGGCGCTGAATAAAACAGATGAACCGTCGAAGGATAAGCCCAAGGAAGATATTGGATATATACCAATGACAGCTGTTGTAAACACCAACAAGAAATTACTTCCAAAGGTAACATGGTATCAAACTGAATTGAATATATTTCTTGAGTTCAGTTTCATTGATAATCAAGATTATAAACTTTACATCGTTCGAAATCGGTTTTTATCCTTTAATTCGATTTATGAAGATAAACACTATGAACTGAGCATAAATCTTTATAATGCAGTGAGTAAGCAATTTGTTCACGAAAGCAAAACGCACTTTATCCAAGCAGTGTTGACCAAACAGAAAGCAGAAGATTGGCCAAGACTTGTCAAGTCCGAGGAGAAAATGTCCAACATCAAGTACAAATTTGATAAAATTGCAGTGGATAGTGATGAGGATGAAGATGAAGATGAGAAAAAGAATCTGCTGCAATGTGAGGAAATCGATGATGAATATTTTAAAGACGCCATTTATACAGCCGAAGGACACGTTGAAGAAATATGGTCCGATTACGATTCTGATAGTGATTATGAAGCGCTTAATGAAGATTAGATTTTATAAGAGTTTGTTACCGTAGTTTATACTATTACGCTAAGACGACTGTATTCGTCGGAAATCAATTTTTTATTTTAATATTTTGTATTTGACATTTTTGATAAATTCTATTTCATACATTTTCTACGAAAAGTGTTTGATTAAATTTCGGGCTATTAGCTCCCTCTGATGCTCAATATTCTTACGGCACAAGCCGGAAAATATAACTGGACATTGATAATTCACCAATTCGAAGACATCAACCCCGTTGCCTTGTTGTGTGAAGTCATAACTGCTGTATGTAGTCACTAAAACATGCAAACAAACAAAAATAATGTTTTCTATTCGCGATTTTCACTTACAACAGATGCATCCGAATGCCATGCAGCTCGTGTGATTCGAATTGATGTAGTAAGCCTGGACTAATTTGTTTACATGTTTCACTTCGTAGTGAGCTAATGTTGCACTTGTTAAATACGGCCAATTCGAGGACACTTCTTTATATTGCACGGTATAGTGCCAGGTTTCGAAGTTTCCCGAGTCGTTTAGTATCAAAAAATCAACTCTAAAATACATTTTATTATGATGGAATGTAAAGTAATTGTAGATACACTTACATTGATGGATTTAATTGTTTTAAGTTGCTAAAGTCTGCGACATATTCCCAAACAGTTTCTGCTTTTCCTTTGGCGAGTTTGATCTCGGTTGAATATCGATAGTATTTGATTCGGAGGAAAATGATTGCCAGGAGTAAAATGGCAACCAGGGTCAAAGATTTTCGAGATTTCCATTGGAAGCGCTTTACTTTACCAACGAAATTCATGACTGAATTAAGTTTCAAACGGCGTTAACTCTTGTAACAGAAATAGATGAATAACGTAAACAGTCGACTACTACGTCGGGTGTAGTAAACTGTTACTGCTGAGATTAATGCTTTGGAGTAGAAAAAATGTTTCAAGCCGCGGAAGTTGCAAGATAATACTGATATATTCTTATCTAAGAACCCACATTTGTTCTATATTTTATTATTACATCTGCATGAGTGAATTTTGTGTAAGTTTAATAATAATGTCTTCTATTTTTACATAAATGAGCAGTATAATCTTTTTAAATTACATTTTGGGGCTTTTGTGTATATTTTGGATACATCTATGACTAATCATTTAAAATGATTTGCAATATACGCCATTATTATACTTCGGTCTTGCACATGACTCTTTCCAATGCAATTTGGCACCTATGATATTGATTGCACAGTCGTTTTCAGTATTTTTGAAATGAGGATACTCTGGCAGCAGAGTTGTGCGCAGCATTAGTATTACGCGCACGTGTTTAACCGCGTGCAAACACTACGCACACTCCGCGACAGACTCAAGCACTTTCTGCGCTCATTGCTCGCGGCTTCATTCGCGCAGAGTTGATCGGTTGTTCGCACGCCTTCTTTGCGGCTCACCGCCTTGTTTATTGTGAATTTGACATAATCAACCTGTTGTGGTTTCAGTGTTAGTTTTCCATCGATCAAAATACCTAGTATGTGATTTCAAACAAACGTCGTGCTGAACATTCGGTGTATTGCTAATTTATCGGGCTCGCGTAATAAATTCTGTGACTGTGAATAAATTCTGTGATTCGTCGTAGTCTCGCGACTCGCCACATCTCTTGAGAACTGAATCCGATCATTCCATTCTATCCAGCAAGGATATTTTACGTATGTGATTGTTGCAATCCACGTGGGACATATCAAAGTTTGCCCTTGATACAGTGGTATCTCATTATCACATAGTGCATTTGTGATCTTTTAATTTGGCGGTGCCCGTGAAAATGAGTAATTCCTGCAATGTCTTGTTTCTTCTTAGCAAATTTTAGCCGGTACATGCATTGTTTTTATTAAATTACTTATGATTGGTATTTTCATGCAATATCAATTTTGTTGCATACAGTAGAATCCGTTTAGCTTATATTGACCAACCGGTTATTATGACGTACCTACACTACCAAGTTTGGTTTTCATATAAAATTCTGTATAAAAAAAGTCGGATATAATGACTTCGCTTACAGTGACATGTCGCTTATTATGACCCATTTTTAACAGATTATGTCCGGTTATATTGACCAACATGATTCTTTACACCTCCGGTAATGTTCGTTGATACCCGACGACGTTCGACACGTGGCGAACTTTTTATATTTATTGCTACATTTCTTTTATGATTGTCAAATTACTTTTATGTATTTACTATCGGAAAGACCAAATGCTTAAATAATAAATATAAGCATTCGGACAGCAGTACCTTGACCACGACTTAATCCGTATTTTCCATTAATCCGAATTTGGCGTGGGTCATTCGACAATCTCAATGCTTTTTAAAAAACAAGAACCGCATTAAGCAATCGTTCAATTCAAATGTTTTGAAACCGAAGAGGCTTCGAAAATCACAAGAAAATTAATTAAATGAAAAAACAAAAGCAGAAAAAATTACAGATTACTTGAAGTAAAAAATACACTTGTATGTGTTATAATGTGCTGATTACGTGCAATTTTGATTTTGATTTAATATGTATGAATATGTACATATTTACATAAAAAAGGGATTTCATTTCACAAAACGCTTTGTATGACGTCCGCTTATTATGACGTGTTTGTCAATTCCCTTCGATGTCATTATAACCGGACTCTACTGTATTTGATAAAATGTGTTTTAAATTTAAACCTGCCGTTACTAGGTAGTCGGTTAACTGGCACTACGATGCACGTTTTTGCGTTAAAAATATTTAAGCAATAGCTTGTCGGTGGTAGTGAGTGCACACCGTGTCCGTGTGCGATCACGCGATTTCGCACAAGAGATAAGTTTGTTTACCTGCAGATATCAAATCTGTATTTGGCATCGTAAATTTAAGCAAGTATTTTTCAGTTCTTAAATCATGAATATAACTAACAATTTTACACTTAAGTATTTGATGTAAAATCTGGCACTCTGTCAGCATAAGAAATCAGAATTTCGCAAATCGACTTTTAATTTATCATTTAATTTTACTCAACTCGTATTGTTTGTATTATATTTAATCATTACTCGACTAATTAATTGTAATCACTATAGTAATGTTATTTACTACTTGCGCGTTTATTGTCTGGCCGGTTTGTAATCGCGTGGACAGTGTATATTGCAACTGACAACAGTTGCTCGGTGAATCAAATAAATATCGCCCCAATTTTAAATTTCCATCTGATAGAGAATTTTCCAGTCTTTCATAATCAGCAATTCGTTGGATGCTATCTCTTATAGTTTAAGAGATATTAATTATCAAAAATCCTCTATAAAAATTATCAAGCACCTCCCCTTGGCAATTTTTTCTTAAGAACTAAAATTTCATCTCTCAGATTTCCGTTTTAACTATCCTATCGTATAGAGAATAGTCCGTAGATTAAGATGCTGCGATGCGATCCTAATTATCACTTTTAGTTTACGAGATATTCGCGATTGACGAAAATGGGCAAAAATTTAAAAATTACATTTTTAGTACTTTTAGTGGCGTTTTTGACCTTTTACTGTTGGAAATATAATTAGTTTATATTTTTATCTGATAGAGAATTTTTCAGTCTTTCATAATCAGCAATTCGTTGGATGCTATCTCTTATAGTTTAAGAGATATTAATTATCAAAAATCCTCTATAAAAATTATCAAGCACCCCCCCTTGGCAATTTTTTCTTAACAATTAAAATGTCATCTCTCAGATTTCCGTTTGAACTATCCTATCGTGTAGAGAATAGTCCGTAGATTAAGACGCTGTGATTAGATCCTAATTATCTCTTTTAGTTTACGAAATATTCGCGATTGAATAAAGTGGGCAAAAATTAAAAAATGTCACTTTTAGTACTTTTAGTGGTGTTTTTGACCTTTTACTGTTGGAAGCATAATTATTTTATATTTTTATCTGATAGAGAATTTTCCAGTCTTTCATGATCATCAATTTGTTGGTTGCTATCGCTTTTAGTTTCAGAGATATTAATTATCGAAAATCGTCGATAAAAATTATCAATTATAATTACCCTTGGCAATTTTTTCTTAAGAACTAAAATTTCATCTACTATCGATTCTACTATTCTCTTTTGAGCAGTTTCAGTCGCGGTTTCAGTCGCGGTATCGAGAACAATTTTGGAATTTATTAAATATTTGTATAAATTGTTTGTATTGCTTCTTGCTCATTGTTATGCTAATGCAGTTTTGTATTCACCTCAGGTGGATGTGAAAGCCGGTCATCAATCTGCACGGGCGTACCACGTCTATTATTTTATGAAGTTTTGAAAATCAGCAGCACTCCATGACGAGTTGCGTCTTTTGACTTCTTCAGAACGCGCTAGGATTTTCGGACTTGTTTCAAATTGTAAGTGATGGAATTTTATGTTTTCCTAATCTTAAATGCTTCGGATTTTAACTCGGAACTCTAGAAATTTGCGAATTGCATTTTTAACACTTTGATTTTTAGGTTTAATTTTTACTGGGGCATTCCATGGATCTGGACGCAGCGTCAACATCTTACATTTTGCGATAAACAGAGCCCAGAAGACTGGGAAAGAACTGAAGAATGAAGGTAATGGTGCGATTCTGTGTTGTTGCATTTTAAAATTTAGATGTTAAAGTATTCTATCCCACCCTTAATAGCTAGTTAAGTAGCATTTAGTAATACATTTGAATGTTCCTTGTAGAATTTTATAATTTGAAATTATTTTCGTATTGATTATCCTCGACTTAAACGTGCATGAGCCTAGTATTTGTGTAGAAGTTAAACAGATTGTTTTTGTATTTAGATATGTTGTGTTGTTGTTGTCTCCTTCTGTACCAATGTGTAGTATGTTTCTAGTATACCGGATAGTGTAGAAGTTGGGAATATGTTTTAATCTGTTGATAGATTGTCTTACCGTTGTCCTTTGTGTTGTTTATAATTGCGGCTTGTGCGTGTAGGACTTGGGAAATAGTTACAGCTAGTAGATATAACATATTGCAGAAGTAGTGAAAGAAGATAATTGCGACAAGTTTTGAGTTATTTATTTAATTGTTACGTTTGATTTTATTGAATCAAATATAAAATGGTATATACACATAATTTCAAGATTTGTTTTCGTTTTTTGTAGTGCGTGTTATCAGTGTTTGGGTTTGTATGTGTTGCTGCGCGCAATGTTACCTGAGGCAAACGGTACTTTGCACGCTGCTGACATCAACGGCGACATTCGGCAAATAGTTTCATTCTAGCCGTCGGACGGTGTGGTCGGCTTTACCTGTGTTCTTAATTAATTAATTCAGTGATTCGCGCTGTATTCGATCAATACTTAATGGTATTTAGATTGAATTGACCATTTAATCAATTCGAAGATGGAATTATTTATTATAAAATGTGAATTTAATGTTTGTGTCTTGTTTCCATCGATGCATATGCTAACTCCAATAAGGAATATACATATATTCAACTAGAGATTCAGCTACACATTGCGGTGCAAGTGGCTTGCGAAGTAAGTTTTCATATTATCGAGAACATGTGGGTTGTCATGCGACGAATTAAACATTATGAACTGTCATTTACCCTGATATTTCGATAGAAAAGATTGAATTGCAAATTCTTAATCTATGGAAAATTTTTTATTAGGAAGCATACAAAAATCGGGAAAATAAGACACTTGTTTCTCAATATTTCAGTTGTTATTATCTCATTAACAAAAAGCGATAGAACGAAACAGATTGAAAATTCGAAATATTCGGAATCTGCTTCAGTAATTGCTTTTCGATTTCCGCTGTCAAACACTTTGGTAAGATAGTTATAATTAAGTAATTCAATGCTTGGGTTCAATTTTTCGTAAATTATTCAAAAATTCTTTGATTTTTTGGAAGTTTAGAAAGATCTCTTCTTGAAATTTTAGATTTTCTTCTGGAATGTTTTTCTTTGTATTCCCT